TAGGTTTTTTGATAATTGCAGAGGGTGGAGTCGGGTTTACTCGTTCTCTTTCGAGACACTAATTAATTTGCTTTTGTCTATCCTTTAACGTTTAAAGATGACATTTTTCTTTAAAATTTCAAACAAAACCTATTTCGAGAGGTGTAAGTTGATATAATTTATAGCCAGACTTATTGACTTTTATTAGAATATTTAAAATTTGCTTTTTTATCGAGCGATTTGTAATGAATTTTAACAGTAAAATGTCGTGCAAGAAAACTCGTAATAATTGCACTCAGGTCGCTGGTTTCATAAAATAAATGAACAGTCAGGAATTACGTTGATTTATTTTTCACGACAATTAATATATTTTGGTGTACAATATTTCGGCAATGTTAAATCCGACGATTTATGCCGTAAGTTACATTATATATTTGCAGTGCCATTAGGTTACTTTACGCGTGTATTGCCAGTCGCTAGTTGTTTGTTGTACCTACCAAACAGACGCATATTATGATAAATACGGTAAATTATCCCGTGATCAAAGTGCAATTTTTAACGAACGTACACACAAAATTCAGTAAACCAACACTTGCCAGTCCAAATTTGTCGAATTACAAACAATACTACATAAATTTTTATACAGTATAAAGTCTCTGATGTTGCCATCAAATATTTCATATACATTCAAACTCGGGTTTCGAACGCCTCGCTTTTCGAACAATTCAGTATTCATTTTTCGGTACACGCCTGAATTGATGTCAAGCAAATTAATTAATAAAAATCCGTCAATTGATATTCACGAAATATAAATTGAATTCAAAAATTCGTAATTAATTATGATGAAATTGAATTAAATAAAAATAGTTATTGCATTATATGAAGGAACTCGTGGTGCTTATTTATGCTTTAATCAATTTTACGCAGAATTTTTATATTATACAGTCAAAATTATTAAGATTCCCATATGTAATCAGTAATTTGTTATACAAATCATGAATTAACGTGCCATATTAAACCTACAATCGATGTTTATTAATTAAAATATTTTCGAAGAAAATTAATATAAACCATTAAGCTTATATTAATTTATATTCATTTAATAATTAAGAGAAAATTTTCAAATGTTTGTATATAACAAACAAGCAACATTAAAAGTCGTCTTTAAAGTAGATTCACTCTTATGTAACGTAATGGACACCATAATTTAAACTTTATTATGTTTGCAAAACACAAGAGAACGTTAATTACGAAAATTCTGAATTAATTAATCGAGGCTTTTAGTGACATTAGCGTCCAGTTCGCTTATCTGAAAACAACGCACATAAGACAATACAGGCACTGTATTGTCTCATCTGCAAAGTATGTGCACGAAGCTTGTAAAGTTTCTTTCCAAGTTACGTCTTTCGTACTCAATTTTATGAGGGAATTTATTGTAATTAAATTTATAAAATTTTTATTATTTTTATAAAAAAAGACCCTTACGTAAAACCATGTCGCTTCAACACAAGCAAATATGTTTGGATTATATTTTATCTCCAATTTTATATTCTGCTAAAGTTTACGGATTGAATTTCTGCATTCGATGTAAATGCATGTCAAGTGAAATAAAGACACAGAAACACAATCCTGTTTCGACATTATTCATAATATACAGCTGTGGCATCGAGGTATTTTTGTGGATAATGGCGTCACTCCACTTAATAAGATTATACGACATGAATTTATATGCCATGCGTGTAATTCATATGTACAACGATTATGCCTTACCAGCTGCGGTGGCCACCGCATTTTTATCCATTTATGTAGCTGCTCAATTTAGTATTCTTAAGAGGAGTAAGATTTCACTTCATTGCATAATTAGCAGTTACGAAGGAGAATGGAAAATCACCGAGCAGATACAAGTATATCTGATTAGCATCGTTTCCTGTTTGTTTTTTATTTCCGTGTTGCTAAATATAATGACTGGAATTACTTTTTTCATAATAATAAAAAAACTAAAAGGCACAGATATAGAAGCCTTCGTTTGTGTTTGCTTCCATACAGTTTGGTTTTTATATATAGCAGGACAGATCATATTGTTCTTACTAATATGCACATTACTCGGCATTACATTGGGCAAAAGATTGATAAATCTCTCGTTAGAACTATTGAAACTAGACATAAGGAGCTTGTTGTTGTTAGAACTGAATCAAAGGACAAATAAAATTAACGCACTAATGTGGAAAAATCAAGAAATCTGGGAGTTCTTTGAAATGATTAACGAGAAATGGAATATTCTTATACCGTTTATATACACTCATTTTCTGTATACGACGTGTTTTCTTCTGTATGCGACATTATTTGTAAATATGGAACTGACACTGAGAACCTGTTTAGCAATCATTTCACTCATATTTCTTGCAGGAATTATTTTATTCAGTTGGGCCCTGTCTTTCTTCACGACATTGGTAAGTTACGAATACCGGTTAGGTTTTGATTTAAAATATTTCTAAATCCAATTATATCAATTACAGTTGGTATAACAATTTTTTAGATCAGATTCCAAAGGTCTAAGTATGTCTTTAACGATCCATTTAACTTCAGTTTAATTCACTGTTTCATGATTATTCACTCCCAATTCAAAATTTCTCATAATTTAAGTTAAATGCCTTTGTGTCCTTATTATATAAAACTTATTCTTTAAATGTATACTAAAGTATATCGTATTATTAGGACTTATGTACTGGTGTCCGGTGTCTGCGATATGAAAAAAACGTTTTCAAAGTGCTAATAATACGATCATCTTTAATAATATGATGGTTGTTTTGTGCAGCACTCAGTTTACATTGCGATTTTTTATACTCGAAAATTTTATTGTGTTAGTGTGATTATTTCTATTTTTCTATAGATTTGAACCCGTGTTAATAATGGATTACCAGGCGTGTGTGAGACGCCTGGATGCCTTTTTTAGCAAGATTTTTTTTTTGAAAATTTTCAAAAAATTTCAAAAAATTCAAGTTCTGTAATTTTTGCGAGCAGCGAAAAATGCAATAAATAACGTTCTAATTGCGTGCCGAGTTTACTCGCAAAAATAAGTTGAAAAAGTGCAGGCGTCTCACAGACTCCGCTCGAGCTTTCGTGCAGGAAAAATTCGGAATAAAAAACACGCTCGCGATAATCGCTATCGTCGATCGCGACGATCGCGATGATCTTTTTTGCTATCAATTCTTTTCTCCCAATAATTTTTTTTTTTATTTCAAGAGAAAGATCGATTTTAGCCCAATTTTTAAGCGAGATATTTATGATTACATTACAGTCAGCGAAGTCTCAGTATACTCTACAAGAAAATGGCGTTTTGACCAGCGTGAAATAACAGAGACAAAAATTTTCAAAATTAATTACGCCAATGCAAATTGCGCTAATTGTACAATTTTTGTTTCGTGCGTAACAATTTCATTTAGGTATTGTTGCCAATGCATTTTTTAATGAAATTTCGATAATATTTTTAGTTACAATTTCATGATAAACTCAGGATATTTTTCTTCAAGTTATAAATTAGAAGCTCACACTATTTACAAAAAATATGTAATTTTTGAGTCTATCAATTAACCGTTTTTCAAGAACCATATAAGTACACCTTTTATATTGGTTTGAAGAAATCACTTCATAAAAACAAATAACAATAGCTAAATTTTTACATTATTAAAAATGATCAAATTCTAGCTTTTTATTTTAGGCTCTGATGCCTTAACATTAAAAAATTAAGTAAATCTTCTCACCCTACTATCAAGTTTTATACAATTTGTATCAGGTTGAAGCCTTCTAGTGATGGATACGAGTTATCTTTTTTTAGTTAGTAATATTTTTAGTTGTAAATAAAAAAATTTATGCATTCGACATCGTGTCGTAAATTGCCGAATTTTTAATGGTCCACTTATCATTCTTTTGATTGCTTCATTTTCTGCACAGAAAACATTTATATCTGAACTATCAGCAAACAATTTTGATAGTTTCTGCAATATTTTGAACGATGTCAATTTTTATATTAGGCGATCGATTTAAGACTATACGACTATACGACACGACTATATCACATTTTAAATTAAAAATAAAATTATTATGGAATTCAATAATAAAAAACTTACTCATCGATTACCTTCACATTTTCGAATGCATAAGACAAGTAAAAGGTAATAGATACGTTGTATGTAAATGGCTTCAATATGCAACTTAGTTTTGGACTGTATTTACGAAACATTGATCGTGAAACGGATATTTCTCTTCCATCCATACAATGTATTTTAATTGATTCCATTATAAATTCGTATGCCAAATTAATGAAATTTTATTGAATACACTTTTGGATAAGAAGAGAAGAAACTATTGTCGATAAAGACTATTGTTTCGTTATAAATAAATATTTGTTTATGCGATTCATTCTAATTGTTTAATTCAACTAACTTGTAACTTTACTTTTTTATTTATCGTTTATCTATTTACCTCAGATCCTTCTTTCACCGTATAGCCAGAAACATTAACAACGTAGAAGACATACTTCATGTGTAATTTTTACGTTATAAAGTTGATTATAAAGTTGATTTTACGTTACGTTGATTTTAATTTTATGTATTATATTTTGTCTTATTTGTTATGGTTCTTGTTATTTATTAGGGGAAGAGATCTTCTGTCCAGCGACATTTCCTAAGGTAGACGAAATAAATAAATAATTCTTTTTAAATTACGTAGTTAGAAATTTGTAATTACACATATTTTTCGTATAACACTACAATTATAAACCACGGTTTAAGAATTGGAGAAACATGCGTATAACCCATTTTGCTCTAACAGTTAAAATATAGAAGGCATTGCCATGAAATTCCCAATTCCCAAGTGCAAACACAGTCATTAATACATTTTTTTATTCAAGCAAGCATGCGTGATGAGTCATATTTGCCCATGGATTTTACAGTATTGAAATTTTGAATGTTGTTTTGTGCCTCGTTTNGAAAGAATTCAATTGTGTTTAATTATATTTTCAGGTAATTAGCGGCTTATATTCCACATTATCTTCGTTTATTCAAATTAGTGGCGTATTGCAACGTGAAAACAAATGTCTTGTCAAGTACAGAAACCACACAAGAGCTGCACAAAATTCAAGTGTTATATTTTAAAATAAGGTAATTTTAGAACTATTTCTAAATTCTTTTGTAATTATTGAATATACGAAAGATCTGAATTGTATATGAAACGTTGCATTGAATTATTACTTTCGAAGTTAGTTGAAGTGAAGCTTGGTGTTATATTTTTCGTGATTTTTCACAAAATATATTATACCATTATGTGTACATTAGCGGTTAATACGAATATTAACATTAACAAGAAATATTAACATTTTGAAGTTCTGTTAAAATTTCAATGTTCAATGAAAACTGAAGTGAAAACTTGCTCAACGCATAACAACGTCTCGAAATGGTTAATTTATTTTATACTTTTCAGTAGAAAATGAAATTCGATTTTTTGACTTTAGAAATCTCTCAACTCGAGATGTCTAGTATAATAGATTACAATTCGTTGAATAAACTCTGGTGAATATACAAACAAAATATGAACATTTATACAGAAAATTAATTTCGTTTGAAATAGAAACGATTACACAGAAAAGGCGGCTAATAAAATTACTGAAAATTAGTCTTCTAGGTAGACTATGATATGACACGCAATTATTCATTGTGATATTGTCACAATTTGAATCTGCAATTTCTAATTATATTTTTAACTAGGTGTTATCCGCGGCTTTGTCCGCGAGGATTTTGCAAGCAAACTCTATTTATATTGAGTATTTCAACAACATTGCATTCCCATGATGTACCCTACTAATATGAAGTTAAAAACAAAAAATCGCATCTAAAATAGTGCAGTAGAAGCCGTTCTTTTGGTTAAGCCTTAACTCTCTCTCTCTCCCCCTTGGGGGTATTTCGAAAAATCCCTTCTTAGTGTGTGTTTTCATGACGTACCCTAACTGTGTACCAAATTTCACCTCTTTAGGTTCAGTGGTTTGCTCTGGGCGATGATGAATCAGTCCGTCATTCAGTCAGTCAGTCAATACAAGTAATTTTATATATTTAGATTTATTAAATTTACGATATATGTTGTCCATTCAAATCAGTAGTGGCTTGCTCTTGTACATCATTTTTTGTTTTAACGATAGAGTTGTGTTAGTCATTTATCATAACTCCTTTCAGAGAAAAATATTTCAATTTAAATAACGTAATGTAATTTGCATCTGAAGTTTAAATACAGTTAATCAGGGTCTCCTGCGTTTAATCTTTTCCATGTCTGTTTTGAGTTTCATTTATCTAACGATGTTTTCGAGATTATAGAAGGTATGAATATACATGTTAATGATTTCTTTGTTCTGTATGCAAACAGACAAACTCTATAACACTTAATACGGTATTTTAAACATGTTTAAAGTTGGATTTGTGATAATTAATTTTTTATTTTTGTTTGGCCCACTCTCGAACGTTTTGTTATTTTCTACAACGACATTTGGAGGTTAATTGGTATGCATTTAAAACAGAAATGTTCCCAAAAATATCTGCTGCTTAAAGGTGATTTAATTAAAGTTTTACTGTATTTAGTGTGTTTTAAAATGCTCAAATTATTGTGTTTAATATATTTATTTCTTTTATAGAAATTACAATAAAATTAAGTGAAAAATTTCTGCTAAATTTACTGTTTAGCAATACACAAATAAGGCTACCGTGTGAAAATTTAATTAATCATTTATAAAAAAATATATATTTGAATATCCATTTTACTATTTTACTTATAATAAAATTAACTAATAATTACACATAATAAAATTAATATGGGGCATTAGTATAATTTTAAAATGTTTCTATATTTAAAAAAATTTTTTTAAATATTTAAAAATACTTTAAATAGATAAAACTATGGAAGATATAAAAAATTTCAAAGAGTCAATTTTGAAAAAAGACATGAATTTTATTAAAAAAAACAATAAAAGCTAATAAGAAGTAAAATCTTCAATAAGACTGATTTCACTTGTAACTTGACATAATACATTGCCTCTTTCTCTCCATCCCCTCGATTTTTCACAACCAAAATTTAATAGCACCAATGGACCCGATATTTAACGTACCGTGCAAAATTTCGTTTCTCAATCTTTACTCCATCGTAAGATATTAAAGAAAATAAACGCAAACACGCAAAATTCTTTCGCCATTACTTTCATTTTTCGGGTTCAGGAGATTCGAAATGTGGAGATTAGGAAAGTATTCGGAGGGTTAAATTTGATACGATTCCTATACTTTATTTGTTATATATACATAACAGTCAGAAAATTAAAACGATTATTTCGAAATTATCAACATTGCTGTAGATATTGAATATTAATAGAAAAAATAAACTATAAATTTGAGATGCAATATTGTTAATGGAAATGATATTACCTTATTAGAAATAGAGAAGATTCATCGTGATTTTCGATAAAGCAATTTTGCCTTCTTCAACGAATCGATTATTGCATCAAACAAATATCGTATTTTTCTATCTTAATTTTCTAAAATATTTTAACAGCCGTTCGAAATCGAATGCGAGTTTAGAAATGTCTTTCGAGAACGACCTTAGAAATGTCTCAACTCGAGATGTCTAGAATGATAGATTACAATTTGTTGAATAAACTTTAGTGGATATACAAACAAAATAAAACATTCATACAAAAAAATAATTTGATTTGAAATAGAAACGTTTACTCAAAAAGGCGGTTAATAAAATTACAGAAATATAGTCTTCTAGGTAGACCATAATATATGATATGACCAGCAATTATTCAATGTGATGTTGTGACAATGTTCGGCTGCAATTTGTAGTCATATTTTTAATTTATTTCATTTAAAATACAAGCTTTCTATTACAAATTAGTGGTGTCATGCTCCTGTAAATTATAGTTTAACAGTAGATTCGCGCCAGTCATCTCCTTTCAGGGAAAACTTTTTAGTTGAAATAACGTGATTTCCGGTTTTCATCNCTTTATATCTCACCATGAAAGTTTATTTACAATCATGTACAAAATTTTGTTTTACACTTATTGAGTAAAAGCTCGATCGGTTACAATCATGCTTCGGTACAGAACATCCACTCGTCGTGCGTAGCGTAGCCGAAAGAGAGAAAAAGAAATATGGCGGACGGCCTGCACATGTTTTTATAGCGCCACCTGGATTTTCAGATGCAGCGCTAGGTTAAAATTATATTGGCCCGCCTAAAGTTTTCTTCTTTTCCTTTGGCCCGCTCTTTAAAAAGTTTGCCCATCACTGGTTTAAACGAATAAAATTATATCTCGATCAGTAAAGATTCTAAGTACTACAGCATGTCCTGCCGGCATATTATTTATATTACAATTAAATTTGTGTAATTAGTAATAAAATTTGTAATACTAAATATCTGGTTTGTTTATGTAATGTTAGTGTACATATTTCAAACTATACGAGGAATTATCTCGTAAGAGGAAGTTTGAAATTTATGGACATTTTAATATGCGCAATCACTTGAAGCTTCAATTTAGCTATCGATTGCAGTAAATAAACGAATAAATATTGATGTGGAATTTAATTATTTTTTTACCGCGTTACTAGGCTATTTCTTGCCAATTAGTGTTTGCTAAACTTTAAAACGAAAATAACTTCATAAAGGGTCTTTTGTTTGTAAGCAGCACGTTCTCTTATGTCAGTCTGTAACGCGATTCGTTAGAACATTCTTAAACGTCACACCATATGTTCTCCGCATTCTGTTCTGTATTGACGAATCGGAATTCGTTTCTGGCATTTACGCATTCACTTTTAAAATATCCGAGTTTACAGGAAAAGACTTTTCTCGTTATGAAGATTTCTAGTTTGGCACAATTACTAAATTCATAAAATGTGTATATTACTAAATCTGTCGTGAATTCTGTTGTAATCAAACAATAATTTCATCGAATTCAAGACTGCATAACGAAATAAATCTTGTAGTTACCTGAATAAAATGCAGCCATCAGATGGTACCTGCGTAGCTACAAAACTTCAACCATTGATTTCTGTTATGGAAATTTTTGGCTTGAATATGTTGGAGGCGTGCGAATGTCAAAAGAAAAAGTCAAGAAGAATTTACAAGTTTTTTACATTGTACAACAATTTACTCGAAATGTTTTTATGGGTAATTGTATTATTGATTGCTGCAAATATAGTAAAATCCGAAGCTTATTGCAATCACATTACTCTTGTCTTTGAAAATAATAAATTCTATATTTTATTTATTGTGTGGTGCGGTTCTCTGTACGCAGCTCTACAATTAAGCATTTTGAAAAGAAAAAAGCTCAAAATTCATCACTTAATGCGAAATTTCAAGAAAGAAGAAGAATTTATCATAATGTATCAATCGTATGTTTATTATTATTTGTTTTTCTACATTTTCATTCTGGTGTGTTTTCTCATCGCAAACTTGTATCTCGGCTATTCCGCCTTTAGAGCGATAAATTACGATTATAGAACTTCGTTTTGCCTTATCACTTTGAATCTTTGGTTTATTTATGCTTCGTCCCACGTACTTTGCGTACTTCTGTTTCTACTGATACTTTCGTTACTCGTGGGAAAAAGGTTGATAGACATTTCTATTCAGTTGCATCTTGCAATTGAAGGAACAATATCTTTTATTGATGAAATAATGAAAAAACTATGGGAAGTTTGGGAGATTTTTGAAGAGGTCAACGCAAAATGGGAAACACTTTTCCCTCTCATTTACGTGTTTTATTTGTACGAATCTTGTTTCTGTATATACATTGTTTTCTTCATACATGTAGATGTAATAATTGGCATGCTGATTGCAGTATTTTCGGTGGCATTTCTCGTCGGATCTTTAATGGTATCATGGGCATTATCATATTTTACTTCAATTGTAAGTATCGACACACATATGTAAAATTATAATTGTACAATTAATTAATGGACCTAACATTAATTCTATGATAAACATATTAATATATTTCAGCTCTACGACAATTTTATGAACATCGCGAAATATTACTCTTTTTCGCTTACAACTGAATACAGGTTTAAAGTATGTTCTTTTGAATTTATGACACATTTGATATAATTGTATTAATAATTTTTAGATATTTTAATAATGTTTTAGATCATTGGCTTTATAAAGAGACTTGGAGGAAGACCATTCGGATTATCAATGTGGGGATTTTTCTATATCAAGAGAAATTTCTTGATAAAAGCAAGTTTTAATAATTGCAAAATAGCAGTTTCTGGTCTTAATTGTAGTGCCGTTATCAACACAATGTAATCGTATCCGACAGCGAATATAACTTAGTGATAAAAAGCTGTGGTATATTGTCATTTAATTTCACCCTGTGATGTCCGAAGGTTTATAATGAACATTAAGAAATAACCTGAAACTCAGATTCTTAACAGATAAATGCGAAAAATAATTTACTGTGTAATTTTATAGATTTACATGCAATATCGCCTATTATGATTCTGTAATAGCGAGATTGCTGCAGACGTTTTCATTGCGAAAACGTGAACGTCGGACGTACAGGTTTTCGCGTTCAAAACTTCGGCCGCAACCTCCCTAATACTATGCTACGTTTATGCGATATTTTAGAATCACTTTGAATTTCCTAAATAAATACAGTGGAACTCCGGTTAACGAACGTCCTGGTTAACGACCAAATCGGTTAACGACCAAATCGGTTAACGAACTTTTATTTTGCAAAAATTTTGTCTCGGATAACGAACAAAATTCGGATAACGAACTTAACGGCTTTTTGTGTCAAATTTGTAAGCTTGTTGACTTTTAGGTTAATCGCCATAGAATTTTTAGGAAAACTGCGTTTTGACCTTGAGATTCGGAGTTTTTATAGTATTTCTTCCTTAAATCTCACCTTACGATTAATCCTGCATCCCATTTCTCGTTTCCCGATTGTTTTCTTCTTTGTCTCCAGGTGAAAACCGAAACCAGATCAGGTCACGAGAAAAGTTTGTTCTGAGGCGTTTATTTGACACCTGTTCGTCGACTCTGATCGGAAATTGTTGATAAACCTATAAGCCTTTCGGTCATAATTTAGCCTATTGTTTCTGCTATCTGTCATTTTAGAACATTAACGATCATATGCGATGTTTTTATACCTGTCAAATCGTTTCCCTTTTCCGAATATTTAACCTAGACCGACTGTTTATGACTGCTTCTGTCAGAGTTTCATCTTTCCCGCAGACATTCCACCTGATCCGTTACGTGATACGTTTTCGCGTCGCGTTTGTTTTGACAACTACACTTTTTTTCCTTACTTCTCCCTGAACTTTGGTCCGACTTAACAATAGTGTTTTCGCTTTTAATATGTGGATATTAAATGATAGTTTCCAGCCGTTCTGGAACCTCACAAATTTCAGTTGCTCTTAGGCGTGCCCGAGGTAAGCATTGCTTTTTCGAGTGTGTTATTTCTTCCTTGAATCTCACCTTACGATTACTTTTGCGTCCCATTCCTTGCTTCCCGATTGTTTTCTTCTTTGTCTCCAGGTGAAAACCAAAACCAGATCAGGTCACGAGAAAAGTTTGTTCTGAGACGTTTATTTGACACCTGTCATCGACTCTGATCGGAGATTGTTGATAAACCTATAAGCCTTTTGCTCATAATTTAGCCTATTGTTTCTGCTATCTGTCATTTTAGAACATTAACGATCATATGCGATGTTTTTATACCCGTCAAATCGTTTCCTTTTTCCGAATATTTAACCTAGACCGACTGTTTATGACTGCTTCTGTCAGAGTTTCATCTTTCCCGCAGACATTCCACCTGATCCGTTACGTCATTCGTTTTCGCGTCGCGTTTGTTTTGACAACTACACTTTTTTTCCTTACTTTTCCCTGAACTTTGGTCCGACTTAACAATAGTGTTTTCGCTTTTAATATGTCGATATTAAATGATAGTTTCCAGCCGTTCTGGAACCTCACAAATTTCAGTTGCTCTTAGGCGTGCGCGAGGTAAGCATTGCTTTTTCGAGTGTGCTAAACTTCGTTTTTTAGTTTTGTTATTTATACTGTATATTTAATCAATATGGCACCGAAGAAAGAGAGAAGTGACTGTGGAAATAGAAAACGTTTTAGTGTAGCATTAAAGAAAGAAATTATTGCAAAATACGAGAATGGCATTCGTGTTTCTGACATCGCTAAAGAATATAATGTGGCAAAATCGACTATCTCTACAATTATTAAAAACAAAAAAGCATTTAAGGCTGCCGAAGTGGCTAAAGGAGTGAATGTGATATCGAAACAAAGATCTAAAGTTTTAGATGAAGTTGGAAAGTTGTTGCTGATATGGATCAATGAAAAGCAACTTGCTGGAGACAGTGTTAGTGAAGCTATAATTTGTGAAAAGGCAAAAATTTATACAATGACTGATTGACCCAGACACCCAGTACAAGTGCAGACAGGCAGGACTTTAAAGCGAGCCGAGGGTGGTTTGATAGGTTTCGTCGACGAACTGACATTCACAGTGTCATAAGACACGGGGAGGCTTCAAGTTCAGATGAAAAAGCTGCAAAAGCATTTGCAGATGAATTCGTAGAGTTTGTAAAAAGTGAAGGATACGTCTGGAATCAAGTGTTTAATTGCGACGAGACCGGTCTTTTTTGGAAAAGAATGCCTAGACGAACGTACATAACCCAAGAAGAGAAAGCACTTCCCGGGCACAAGCCCATGAAGGACAGACTCACTCTTTTATTTTGCGCTAATGCAAGTGGTGACCTCAAAATCAAGCCACTTTTAGTCTACAACGCTGAAAATCCTCGTGCCTTTAAGAGCAAAAATGTGATAAAGTCCAAACTGCCTGTACAATGGAAGGCAAATAGTAAGGCATGGGTAACTCGGACTTTATTCATGGATTGGCTCACAGAAGTGTTTGCTCCTACTGTTAAAAATTATCTTCAGGAAATGGATCTTCCTCTTAGATGTCTTCTCTTAATGGATAATGCTCCAGCACATCCACCAAATTTGGAGGACGACTTGGATAGTGAACATGACTTCATCAAGGTCAAATTCCTTCCACCCAACACAACTCCATTACTGCAACCAATGGATCAGCAAGTGATTTCCAATTTTAAAAAGCTGTATACCAAGGCACTGTTTACCATGTGTTTTCAGGTTACCAATGATACCGACTTAACTCTTAGAGCTTTTTGGAAGGAGCATTTTAACATCCTGCATTGTATCAACCTTATTGACAAAGCCTGGAGTGAGGTCTCTCACCGCACTTTGCAATCGGCCTGGAGGAAACTTTGGCCAACTTGTGTCCCAGAGCGAAACTTTCAGGAATTTGAAGAAGAGAGCTCTCCTGATGTAGTGCATGAAATCGTGTCCATTGGCAAGAGTTTGAGAGTAGAGGTAGATGATGCAGACGTGGAGGAGTTGCTGAAAGACCATCAAAATGAACTAACGACAGAAGAGCTGGTTGCCATGCAGGAAGAACAGATGAAAGTCTTACAAGAAGAGCATTCGTCAGAGGAAGAGGCTAGGGAAGAAATCACCAGTGCTGAGATCAAGGAAATTTGCAGAAAATGGAATGATGTGCAGGAATTTATCGAGAAGCACCATCCTAACAAAGTTGTGGCTAATAGGGTCATTAATTTAATGAACGACACTGTGCTAGCGCATTTTAGAAAAATTTTGATTAAGAGAGTAAGACAATCAACTTTAGACAATTTTCTTGTTTCTTATCAAAAGAGATCTCGACTCGAAGAAACTCCCGATGCAGTGCTACCCGATATTTTTATGGAGGGGGATTCCTCTTCCAAGCATTAAGCTCCGTAGAAACGAAGGTATGTACAGTGCTACTTTATTAAATAAAGTTTACATATTTGTTGCTGTAATGATAGATACTACGTTTTCTTATATATTCATCAAAGAAAATCAATTTTACAAATAAAATTACAAAAATACTGACGGCTAGAACGGATTAATTGTATTTGCGTTAATTTCTATGGGAAAAATTGCTTCGGTTAACGAACAATTCGGTTAACGACCGGACTCGTGGAACGGATTACGTTCGTTAACCGGGGTTCCACTGTACTTTTATTTGTTATATAATTGTAAGTTTATACTTAAACTGAAATCGCCATTTAGAAATACATTAATAAAAATCACATTTTCTATAAAACTATTCTTTTAATTGCATTACTTTTAATTCCTTTCAGATGATAAGTGGATTGTATTCTGTTTTCTCTTCTCTCATTCAATTAACGGGAGTTCTTCATACAAAGAGATGCTACAAGAAACGTTTACAATATTTGACATCTAACAACGAAACAGTTTCTTAAATATTTAGAATTTTTAATACAGCAATTATCACTGATAACATATATTCATTGCTTATAAACTATTGAATCTTAAACTCGATGTTAATCTTTAAACCTCTATCATATGGTTTGAATATCTTTGATTAAATTATCTTCTAAGTACAGTATTTACAGCAGAGTGTTTAATCTGCTACTTGAGATAATTAATAGTACTGTATATTAGAGAAGTTGACTGAAAACAGCGCCTAAAATTTAAATTGGTATTCACAAATACTTATCTTCACTGTCCTTGCATGTTCAAAGAAAGTTTGTTTTAGTACTGATATAAAGGAGATAATCGATATGTCACAGATTAAGAAAAAAAACGAATTTTTCTCAATTATTGTGTAATTAACTTCAAAAATAGTAGAATAGAATAATGTAGTGTTGACTTTATTCTTTAAGTCTTCGCGAAAGTGATGCGATTAACATTCAACATTCTCAAATGTGAGATATTCTGAAAGTACGCTTTAAAGTTTCGTCTTTAGATTTAACGGACTCGAATATAACAGTGTTTGGATTTAACGGACAGTCTAACTGCATTTGTATTAAATGACATGTAACTAATAGACAAGGTAATGAGTTGTTGTCGTAGTTATGCTTATGTAATTGAAATTAGGTGTTTAAAACACGTTAAATTTTATTGAAATGTTTTCTATATGTATTATTATTTACGTACGCACCATAGTTCTTAGACTGTATACTAACTACACGATCTAACTGAAAATAAATAAACATGTTTTTGTAAAATATATTTAAGTAGAGAAATAAATAATGTTTTTAAAAACAATTTAAATTTGACTAAAACAAAAATATTTTTTACTACCATACTCCACAACGCGTTGTTGTGGCTCAAAATGTATCTATTATAAATGTATAACACTTCCCCCGTGGGGGTGGGGGAATTTTTCGAAAAATCCCTTCTTAGTGTACATTCTCTTGACGTACCCTATTAAAACGCAATCAAAAATGCAAAAAACACATCTAAAATAGTATAAATAGAAGCAGAGTTCTTTATGGTAGGCCTAAATCCTGTACATCTCCCCCTAGGGGGAATTTCAAAAAATCACTTCTTAGTGTGCGTTTTCATGACGTACCCTAACTGTGTACTCTGCATCTAAAATAGTACAGTAGAAGTTGTTTTTCCGAATAAGATTTAACGGTCTCTTTTTCCCCCTGCAGGAGAATTTCGAAAAATCCCTTCTTAGTGTGCATTCCCATAGCGTACCCTACTAATATGCAGCTAAAAAAATCGCGTCTAAAATAGTATAGTAGAAGGCGTTCTTCTGATTAAGCCTGAATTCCTCTCTCCCCCCTCGCAAGGGAATTTCGAAAAATCCCTTCTTAGTGTGCGTTTTTATGACGTACCCTAACCGTGTACCAATTTTCACCTCTAGGTTCAGTGGTTTGCTCTGGGCGATGAAGAATCAGGCTAGGACTCCACTACCGTAAAAACAACGTAAAAACCCCTCGACGTAAAAGCTTTTAACCACGTGACCCTGATATCTTACGCTTGAGCAGGCCGTAAAACCAGCGTAAAAGCGAGTTGAGCTATGTTCAACTTTCGACAGGATTACGACCGTAAAACGGTACCTTCAACCAATCAGAAGTCAGTGGAACTACGTCATCGCAACACGAAGCTAAAATGGCGGAAAACGAGCTTTTGTGTACGTGCCCTCGTGGCTACTGTAGAATAGATCCAGAAAGATATATCGAAAACATCCGAAAGTATTCGTGTATCTACGACAAGAGGTAACTCGATTATAATAATGGATATCAAAGGAAATCCTTCAATTTAGAGGCGTATATAATAAAAAAGCTAAGCTTATAAGTGCTGTATATTATCTTAATAATACGATAATAAAAGTTAGTATATGAAAGTAACGATATTATTTTTACTACATTTGTAATTATAGTACAGAAAATACTCGTAGAATATAATCGTTGTCTTTATATCGATATATCACGTAAACAACCATCTTCCGTTTCTACCAATTCACGTGCGAAGAAGTATTTACTTTCGACACTTGGAGCAGCACCGTCGCCGTAAAAACTTCGCGCTAGCCGGACCTCCACCGTAATCCGAGCGCAAACGCAAATAGGTCACGTGATTAAAAGCTTTTACGGCGAGGGGATTTTACGCCGTTTTTACGGTAGTGGAGTCCTAGCCTCAGTCATTCATTCAGTCAGTCAGTCAGACAGGACAAGTAATTTTATATATTGGGTACACGTATATTATATAAAAACACGTGCGTATATTCGAATGCAGCGTTGTGTCAAAATTTCAAAGGAATCGGTAGGAACAAACGAACATTACATTTTTATTTATATAGACAGATAGATGATCTGCTATATTTTCACAGAAAAGCAAACTTAGGGCGTCGTACTCGTAGCGCCATCTGTTTGACATAAAAGCCTTAACCTAGATTATATCTTTTAATTTATATGAAAGTTTAACGGAATAATATAAAGCCTATGTCCACCCCAAAGTTCCATTCTAAATATTGGTTAAAGAATTTATAAATGTTTTTCTACTTCTAAATAAATCGTTAATTAATTCAAGTAAAATGTTTCAAGTCACTTTATATGAATTTATTGACTATATAACGAACGAAAAATATGGCGATCGTTAAAAAATGACCTCCCCCAGATTTTTACGTTCTTCGGCTTAGGGGACTTCGAATCATTGAGAATGCCAAGAAAAATTAGGCTTATTCGGTATGTATGAATGTTAGTGTTTGTGTTTTTTGGATGGGGCACGATTTTATTTATTCGTTTTCAAGGGTAATTGATAATTCCTGTGCTTGTTTCGTCAAAAATTTTCAAAATTTAAAATGGTGATTCGTTTATAAAGGGGATTGGTACTGTTAAATAGAAAGAGTCGTGTGTATCTCCAATAGGGTCGTTATATAATTGTAAGTTTATACTTAAACTGAAATCGCCATTTAGAAATACATTAAATAAAAATCACATTTTCTATAAAACTATTCTTTTAATTGCATTACTTTTAATTCCTTTCAGATGATAAGTGGATTGTATTCTGTTTTCTCTTCTCTCATTCAATTAACGGGAGTTCTTCATACAAAGAGATGCTACAAGAAACGTTTACAATATTTGACATCNTCAAAATTTAAAATGGTGATTCGTTTATAAAGGGGATTGGTACTGTTAAATAGAAAGAGTCGTGTGTATCTCCAATAGGGTCAAATTTAATGACAATTTTACTCGTTATTAGCATTTGCAATTTTGTTTATTAAACCCATCTCTATCCTGAAAATTAAGCTTTTTACCATTTTATAATATTTAAAAGTACAAAAAGTTTGAAAATTAAAATATTATAATAATCGTTATTATGCAATACAAACATATCTTTATTCAATGTAAGTAACAATGATTAACATAGTTACACAGTAAGATTTTGTTAAGCGCTTAGGATACGTTCCTAGAGAGCAAAGCGCTAAATGAAACAGCGTTAAACGAAGTCATTTTGATTCATATTAAATAGGGAAAGGGAAACACGCGACCAAAATAAAAAAAATTTTGCTTTAATTTTAAGTTATTTTTATCTCTCCCTGTACATAAGATATAAACATATGCGCACAGAAATATAAAATTTATTTTTGTGAGGAAGATCCTGGCTCTTCTGAAATTGTTAATTTTTTTTTCTACGATCTCGTCTAGTGTTATTTGTCGCTTTTCTTTTTTCGTTCGTTAAGCAAATGTCGGTAGGAGGAGATCGCATACAAAATGTCTTGTCTTGCTTTTGCAATGGCCAAGCGGTTCTGTTCTCTGAACACTGGGAATTCGGTCGTGGATTTGCGTCTCGCCAGGACAGGCTAACGACGAGAAGGTTTCCGGATTTTCACCATGTCTGTCACATCTGAATAAGAATCAGTTACACTTAAAACGACCTTCCGGAATGCATCCTCTACGCAGATCGCCCAAGTGTTGCGTTGCTGTCACTTAACTAAACAAAGAAGCTTATGCACTCCTTTTAACATTTGTATCATTCGCTGCAATGTGAACAACGATTTCGGTTATCGTTACCAAACTTTTAATAAGGAAATCTGTAACAATTTCTTTGGGTTCTTCGTTTTCAGAATCACTATTTTCCAGTTCTACATGAATTCCGTATTCTGCCAGTTGTGTGAGAGCCTTACCAACGAGGTCTTACTAAACGCAGCGCTAAACGAGGTCTTACTGTAATGTATAAAATTTAAAACTTTTAAACGAAGTACTATAAATTATACAGTAAAACTCCTATTATCATAAATATCATAAATAATTCGGACATCGGGTCATTCGGATATTGGGTCAATTTCAAATATTCGAATAATTGAATTTTTAGTAAATAATTTTAGTTTTTATTTATCTACTCCATTATGAAAGAATAATGTGCAAACGAGCTAAAATTCATTGTGACATTATCACAATGCCGGGCTGCAATTTTTAATCATATTTGTTACTTATTTCATTTAAAATATATTATATCCACCTGAAATTAGTAGTTGCTTGCCCTTGTATATCATACTTTCCTCTAACA